CTGCACTGCAGGGAACGGGAAAACAGGAGCGCCCCTGCCAATGCCCCATGACTGTCCAAGTTCGCCTGGAACGGTTGTTTGGGAACGGAGCTGGGAAGGGTGTGAAGCTTGGAGTGAAAGAGGCCTCCTTCCGGGGTTCCCAGGAGAAGGTCTTTGGGGGCCTGGCCTGTGGGGTGCTTTGAGGCTGTCTGAACTGAGGATGAGACCCAGATGTAGGTGTCTAACTGGAGACCAAGGAGCGATTCACCCATAGCCTGGAAATGTGGACAATCTTGAGAGATGAGTCCCTAGAAAGATCACAAGGGAAGATGTCCAGGGATGACATCCAAAAACAGGTGGCTCAGTGGATTGAGCACCGGCCTGCAAACCAAAGGGTCATGGGTTTGATTCCCAGTCAGGGCACATGTCTGGGTTGCGTGCCAGGTCCCCAGTAGGGGGCACGCAAGAGGCAACTGCACATTGATGTTTCTCTCCCTCCCTTCCAATTTCTCTAAAAATAACTAATTTAAAAAAAAACAGGTGGGCAGAGGTCTACTGGGGACTAGTGACATGGGCCATGGATCCTTCCAACATAGGGTGTGCTGACAATTATGTTGTTTAGCCCATAAGTTTTCAATCAACTCAGAGAACGCTCAGAAAAATAATGGATGACCTTAGTGGCCTGGGAGGACTGCAGTATCCTTCTTGCCCTTGCAGCCTGACAGGAGCTGTGTGTTTTAACATCAACATATAAAATTCACGCTTGAGTTTTACAGAAGCAAGACTAATGGCCTCAAATGAGACAAAACTATGTACTTCTGAAGCAAAATTCCTCCCAAATTGCTCTGTAATCTTCAAACCATGTCAGGGTTTGAGTGGAAGCCCGATTTCGTGCTGGCGCTTGTGCGAACAGGGTGTGTGAGGAAGGAGGGGTAAAACAACGTCTCGGTCCCCGACGTGTAGGGATCCTGTGGTTTCCCACCTCAACAATCTGAGCCTTATGTTTGCCTGTTATCGACCACAGAATGAGAAACCAAAGTATAGACCTTAGGAGGTTATGCATTATTATAGCACACAGCTGGAGAGAAACATACAGGTTTATTCAAAGGAGATGCATTGCTCAAGAGGCTGTATCCAAGTTTTTCTCTTATTTCATTGAAAGCTAGCCCCGGCTGGTGTGGCTCAGTGGGTTGAGCACTGGCCTGTGAAACAAAGAGTTGCTGGTTCAATTCCCAGTCAGGGCACATGCCTGGGTTGCAGGAGAGGTCACCAGTCGGGGGCACGAGAGAGGCAACCACATAGTGATGTTTCTCTCCCTCTCTTTCTCCCTCCCTTCCCCGCTCTAAAAATAAATAAATAAAATCTTTCAAAAAAAATAAATGGTATGGCCTAAGTTCTTTTAAATTAGGTTTATTAAGACCATGCCCAGTGCATAGGAAAGTGCTGTTGAGTTTTCCGTGTTACTTAACCTCACCAGGAATAAGTGGGATGACATGACACTTCACAGTCCAGTCGATGGCACCAGCACTGAGATTAGGCAAGCTCGCCGGAAATTAAAAACTAAATGGCAGCCGAAGAATCACTTTCATTGGGGCACAAATCATGTCTTTTTAATTTTCTACCTCAAGCAAGTATTGTCCTTGTTAAGTACAACCTCCCTCTCTGAGTCTGAAATCATTGATCTAAACGGGTGGATGGCTATGAAACCCAAATGGCCCCACGACCATTGACTATTACTATCTGTCTCTCCGTGTTGGCCGAGCCTGCCTTTCTTGGTCATGGACATAGTTTCCAAAGAACAGCACGGTATGTTCGGCATTTAATGACTTTCAGCGTAGAGTTGCCACGCTGACTCCATGGCACAGATAAACGTAGCTGTGTATTTTCATCTGCTGAGTTTATATTTTTAATTAAGAGGCCATTCGGTTTGTCTTCCTGACAGATTTAACCTTCTTTTCCTAGCCTTGGAAATGTTTCCCATGGCTTCCCATAAATCAGTTCTGCTGAGCTCAGTACCAACGTTGAAAGCATAGGAGAAAGTTTAGGGAAACTCACATTCATTCTCCACCTCATTTGACACCAGAAATTGCTTCCTATGATGCAGCAGAATCACTGTGACAGGGAGCCATCCATTACTGATAATTCATGGCATTGTACAGGGAGATTTTTCACTGCTCTCCCTCCGCTCTTCCAGCCAGCCAGCCAAGGCTAACTGCACCTCATCTGTAAGCCTTCGTGAGCAGGGGGGAGTCACACAGACTTCCGATGTTGGTGGGAAAGGGTGCAGCAGTTGCGGTACCCAAGGGTGAGGCCCCCTGTTGCCACTCGTCGAGCATCGGGTGATGCTGGGACAAGCCCCACAGCGTGAATTAGATAAGATCATCTCTTACCAAATCTACTCTTCTCGCAGCCCAAGAAGAGGTGGTCTGGCCCCTGTTTTGATGGAAAGAAAGGGAGATGGGTGGATGGATGGATGGATGTATGGATGCATGGATGAGAGGATGTGTGGGAGGATATGTGGATGGGAAGAAGATGGGTGGACGGATGGATGGATGGATGGGAGGAAGGAAAGAAGGAGGTATAGGTGGAGGGATGAGCGGAAGGATGGAGACGGACTCAGGGGCTCCCACCCGGGCGGGGCTGCCGCCAGCACACGGACACTCCAAACTGTCCCTGTCCTTTAAACACGTCCTGGCTGCCGTGACACACGGGGAACGGAAACAGCATGACGGCCAGTGACAAGCGGTAACGTTCTGTTAAAGCCGAAAACAACAGGGCCCATCTGGGAAGGAAATTATTTTTAAATGACTGAAATGTCTGATTTGCATTATTTATGTCTTGTTCATACTTGCACCCAGTGGGTGTTATATGAATCTTTGAATACTTGATGACTGATTAATATAAATTGCTAGGGCTCCTCATTGTTGCGAAGGGTTCGAACCAATTGCTTTTTTTTTTTTAAGGCCGCCAGTATATGGAAAAAGTATAATGATGTCCGAGTGGGGTGAGGACATAGGTAGTACCGCCAGTGTTGACGTTTCACAAATCGTCGGCCCCAAGGCCCTCTCAACCCGCAGCAACTAGACTGAGAGAGTGGCCGGGGCTTGCCCAGACCCTCAGCAGCCTCTGTGCACTGCCCTCCTCCGTCCGCTAGAGGGCAGGCGGGAGGCGAACACAGGGGCCTGGGACTGCCCGGGCGCTGCAGACTTGCAGGAACCTGGAGGCCAGGGGTCTGAGCTGGAGGGAGGAGGAAGCTTGGGGAAAGAAAGCCTTAGAATATCGACATGCTGAAGGACTGATTCTTGAAATGGAAATTCCCCCCCTTGATTTTCTTTTTCCCCTGAATTTTAAAAAATAAATATAATGATAAATTATATAGCAAATATTTTTTCCAGCTTATCATTTACTTTTTAATTGTTTCTGGTGTCTTTTTTATAAATAAATGTACTCCTATTTTAGTAATCATATCTGTCAGGCTTTTCCTTTATGGTTTTGAGATATACTTAGAAAGACTTCCACAATCCCAGGTTTCTGACAAATATTCATCTACATATTCACCTGATTACTTTTTTGGCTTCACTTTTTTACAGTCATTAATCGATGGATTTGGACTTTATTTTGTTGTGGGGACGTAGATAGGAAAACAGCTCGCACTAATGACTATTCGGTTATTTCACAATCATTTTTAGGAAACAGCCACCTGTCCCATCAGCTTGAAGTGCCACCAGCAGCACCACAGTTTCTTGTGTCCCTGTGATTCTGGGCTCCTCGTCCCACCCCCCTGGGAGGTCTTCCCTGGGCCGGTGACATGCTGGTGCAATCCCTGTCTCTGTGTGGTAAGGGCAGTGCAGGACGACAGAGGGCGGAACACTGACACATGGGTGCTGAGGCAGGACGCCCTCATGCCCCGATCCCGCACTTCTCCCCGTGTGGCCGTGGGCAGCACGGTTATCCCCCTGAGCCCCCACTTCCTCAGCTGCGACAGCAGCATTAGCATCTGCGTCACAGGGTGGTGGGGAGGAGGAGGATGCACTAATACATATAATGCGCTTCCTCTGGTGTAAGCCCTCCACCGGCTTGCACTATACTCGGCCGGGTGTGCGTGCTTCCATTTTCGTACCCAGCCTGGCGACTGGCCCTGCGGTCTCTTCATCGAGATTCTGTGCACTGTCTCTCTCTGTTCTTCCACGCAAGACCTGGAACCATTGTGTCAAGATGAAAACAAAATTCTCCCTGGCGGGGGACGGGGGTATAAGGGGACTAAATGGGAATGGGAATTTTATTGAAAAAAAATTCAATAAAGATTAAAATAAAGTAAAATAAAATAAAATAATTCTACTTGGAATTTGATAGAGACTACATTGAATTTACATTTAAAGAGGATTCTATATGGTTATTTCCTTGTTTAAGAATAAGAATCATTTGTCCATACACTAAAGTCCCCTTTAGTCCCCCGGGAGAAATTAGAAATTTTATACAAAAGAACATATTCCCGGATAAGTTTATATCCCTATTTTTTTATGGTTTTGCTATGAGTGAGAATGAGACTTTTTCATCCACATTTCTAAGTGAGCCCCAAGCAAGAGAGACTGTTAATTTGGTATATTTATCTGCTGCAAATAGTACCCATTTTTCTCCTGCCTTCCAATAAAAAAAAAGGCAAATATATACATTGGTTTTGCAAAGGCACAACTTCTGTATTTTCACACCTTTTCCTTCTCTAGTTTGCATTGACCAGAGTTTCCACAGCAGCCTCCTGGCCTTGATTCCAACTTCAGTGGAAATGTCTGGATATTAAGCATAACGCAAGCCGAGGCTTGGGGAGAGGTGTCTGCTTTTCCATACATGAAGTATCTGAACGCCCAGATTGGTCCGCGAGCCTGCCAGGGGCTGCCGGCCCCCTCCCCGCGCAGCCCACGCTCTGTCTGGCCGGGGGTGAAGTTTCTCCTGCGTTTCCGCTTGAACGGCATCCAGCAGCCTCGCCTTTAAAATGCCAGGCCGGCCGCCGCTCCGCTCAGAGCCCCCTCTCGGCGGCTGGCTCGGGCTCGCCCGCTCCGCCGGGGCGCTGACTCAGCCGCGGCCGGGCTGCCGCGCACACAGCCCGGCCTGGCAGCGCCCCCTGCGCCCCGCCGACCCCGGCCGGGAGGCGCCGCAGCCAGCCAGGGCCCCGCCAGCGCACGGGACAGGCCTTTCCAGGTGAGGATGCGGGACCCGCCAGACGCCTGCGGGTTGGGGCGCAAGGACTGTCGCGGCGCGCAGTGGGTCCCGGGTGGCAGGCAGAGGGTCTGGTTTGCTCACTGAGGTGTAGCCGAAACCCCTCCTCGGGGGCGCGCGTCCGGCCGCCGGGGGCGAGGAAGGGCCGGCAGGTCGCAGCCGCCTTGAGCGGCTCGGACTGCAGTGGCCCAGGCTGTCCGGTCGGTGCGGGTCTCCACGCTGTGTTCAGGCAGCAGCACGCTGCCGAGCCATCAGCTCCCCATCCAGGGACCCTAGGCCCCTCTGCCACAGAGGGGTTTGAGCAGTGTGAGTTGTCACCGAGCCCAAGTTGGACATTCTTCTTGTCAAGTTCGGTGCCTAAAATGTAGTTCCTTCCTGTGGCTGACAGTTAACACAGAACCAATTTCTCTCCGTGTAGCCCCGGTGAAGGTCACCATTGATGTAACTTCTGGGAAAAGTTCTGTTCATGGCAGCCTTTCGAAATGTCGGGTCTCAGCTGGATTTTGCTCTGATCTGGGACGAAAAGCCTAACACGCCTTTCAAACATTTCACCCTCCATCAGTGGAGAAGTGGAGAATGGCTCTGGGTGGTATTTCGGGGAATGTAGTATAGAACTGAATTTTATTAGAGTCTGTGCTGCCGAAGGGGAAGTTAGGGGAGGGAACGACCTCGGGGAAGCACCTTCTCGAGAGATGCTGGGTAAGGTTGCTCTGCCTCTGGACGCCCCCCGTCCTGAAGCCGCCTCTTGACCCAAACCATGACAACGTGATCTCCGGTCTTTGCAAACCTTTGCAAAGTGGGTTCAGGACACCGTAAAGCCGGACATCCAAGGCCTTCGGTGTGATTTATAAATTGCATCTGGACCCGGGCCACATTTTCAGGGATGGCTCAGCATAAGCTGCACATCAGCGTTGAGGACACATTTTCTTCCTCAAGTTTTCTTGAGGAAGAAAACTGTGCAAGCAAACACTTACCTTTGGAAAACCGTTCTGAAACCAGTGACCTCACATTTATCCACGAGACAAAGCGTGGGCAGGCTGTTCGTTTACTCTGTGTGATCTCTGCCTTCATCTATTCTGGTTCCGAACGATTAATTTTTCCTCCATCACTTTTTCCAGTTGCATTTCTTATTTCTGAGCGACACGCAAGTAATGAATGCATGAAATTTAATGTGTTCTGAACTCAAATGAGTCTGGAAAATTATAGCCCATTTCTAGCCGTTACGTATCTGAGATATAAATTTAAAATAAACAAGATTGTGGTGGAATAAGGGTTTTTAAAAAATAGCATGAAGCTTAATTAGCCCCCCAAAAAATAGTTCAGCTAGAAGCAGCTCAGCGACAGCTTGTAAGTTATGATTTAGACAACCCCTTATCTTCCCAGTTTATTTCTCTACTGAGTTCATGGGGGAGGCAGCCATTCCGAATATACTGCTGTGCTAATCTTCGTCCGACAAATATTTACACTCCCAGGCTGTGCTATCACAGCTCAGACTCACAATGTGCAGCCCTAAGGTGGTTTTGCGTACAGTATTATTGAAATTCAACACGATTTCCATGACTTAAGTGGAAAATGAAATGATATCAAGGAAAGTGTCCTTAAATTATCCTGTCTGGCCACAACAGAAAGAACAGTGCTTATAAAACTGACACCGTTCCAAGACTCTGAGGTCAGTGCTTCTAAGAAGCTCTGATGGGGAGGAGGCCACAGTGCACCGATTCTTGGCTTCCAAAGCCGTGGAAACAGTGCACGGCAGTGAATTTTTGTTTAAGATAACTGAGTTCATGTTAAGACATTAGGAATGACACCATTTCCAAACATTTGTGCTGTTTTGGGAGGAGCTATTCCTAAAGCGCATCACAGCCTCCCTACAGTCGGAGAGCTGGCCAACAGGAACAGAGACATTTCCCGACACAGGACGGGCCCCGGGAGTCGGTTGTCTCGTGTCCAGAGCAGAGAAGGACCCCGGGGGTTTGCAGCCGGCAGGGTCAGCGTTTGGTCCTGGCTCTGCCACCGGGCAGGCGACCTGAATGAGCTGCCCTTTGGGGCTTCAGATCTCTCATTTGTGAAGCACTTACCGTATGCCAAGCATTTTATGTACCTACATAATTCCCTGAGTGACGATTCTGAGCCCCATTTCCCTGATGAGGAGCACCTTGAACAACTCCCCCGTCAGTTCAGGGCAGGAGAGCTGGGGTACTGCAGACTGGCCCCTGCAGCTGCCCAGGGGGAGCACGCCCCGGCTTAGACTCAGAGCTCAAGCCGATCACCAGTTCCACCTTGTGAGGGTGAGACTGAGGGACGTCATTCCCATCTGGGGCCTGGGAGTGGTCCCTCTGTAACTGTTCTCCCTGCAGTCGGTTGCTGCTTGGGAGCCCGGGCCTCCTTCTGAGACTCGGATTCTGCGTTTATAAACCTGGGGGAATCATTACCTCCTGGGCTGGGCTGCTGTGGGAGTCACAGCTCATGACATACACGCGCGAGCACGCAGCAGGTGTTTCGCAGAGTCCTCCTGCACCTGCCCCTCCACAGTCTGCTCCTGGGTCCACCGGGGACAGATTTTCTTTGTGTATCCCAGGAGGGTGCCTGCTGTGCCATCAGGGACAATAACGCTGCCGGCTGTCCAGGTGGGGCACCTGGGAAACGTATTTCAGGGGACACACAGAAAGAAGTACCATGTCCTGGACAGGAGACATCAGGTGGCGATGGCTTTGGCCTTGAGCCTCTCTCCCCCCATCCTGCCCACTCGCTGGCCCCATGACAGGCAGGAACGTGACCCTGGGGTCTCAGCGAATGACGGGCCTCAAAGCACACATTTCATGCTCAGTATACAGATGATACTCTGTGCGTAAGGAAGTTTTTAATATCTTTAATTCTTTAATTACTCATTTTTAGTGTTTCTATTACTTTAAAATGTTATTCTACTCCATATGATACCTCTGTTTTCACACAAAGTCGGGCAGCCCCCCACCCACGGCACCCAGGGCTGCACTCGGCACCCGCAGAGGCATTTGTGCCCCCGGGAGGGAGGCCAGTCTCCCAGACACCCGGGGACGCCAGGTGGCATTTCCTTCCTGTCCTTGGGGCGGCATGAGGGAAAGGAACCCCGCGTTCCCTCCAGAGATCACAGCAGGGTCAGAGAGATAAGGAACCGTGCCAGCTCTCCCACAACCAGGCCCATGGTGGACACCAGGGATTGAAATACGATGTTCTTTCCACAGACATGAATTTTCATGCTCAGGTGGCTGTGACAAGTGGACCACAGGTGGCGGGCATGATGACATCCGTTTGTCATCCAGCAGTTGGCACTGATGGCCAACAAGTGGCCTGGAGCTGTGTGGCCTTTCTCCTCACATCCAGCTCCCGCTGGCTGCACTGACTGCTCCTTGGCTCAGAGCAGCCCCCTGTGCCCGAGAGGACTCCAAATGGAGGGCGCACGTCTGCCGGGCCTCCCTCCCTTGCCCAGAGCGGACATGGCTAACCAATCAGGGCCTTCTTCCCCACGGAGCCCGAGTGAGGTCTCACTGTCCTTCTCAACAACTGCCTGGTGTTGGCTCATGGAATGTCCTTTAGTTGGGTCCTGTAGGCAATGGGAAGACCTTGAGGAGTTTGAGCTGCAAGAGTAACGTGCTGCCCCCGTCTCCTCAGGCCCCTCCTCTCAGTCCTAGGTCTCAGGGCAGCGAGACCCCATGCCTGGGAACAGCCATAAGTCCGAGGTCCCTGGAGGGCATGGAGGGACTTGCCGTCTGAACCTTCATCAATAGCAGAACCGCTCAGTTTCCCAGATCAGTCACCCCTGGCTTGGAAGCAGTCGGATCCTGTCTCTTAATAACTCATGTTTGGGAGGAGCACTCTTCTTCCTGGGACCCACCGAGGGACAAGTGCACGTCCTGGACTCCACGGCCAGGGCCCGGGTTCGGTCGGCACCGAGCACGAGGCAGAGCTGTTCGGTGGCGGTCAGAGTGTGCGTCCTCCTTCCCTGCGCCCCAGTGAAAACACTAACAACATGCGCATCCTGTCTGCAGGAGAGAGAGAGGTACTGCAGACTGAGCTCTGAAACTCCTGCCTGTCCCGGGCGGCCCGCTCCCCGTGTGGGCAAAGAGATGACTGTTAACCCGTGCACACGCCCAGGGAGGTCTAACGTACGTTCCCAGCATTCCTCTTCTTGTTCAGCAGTTTCTCTGACGTCTGAGAATACCCCTCAGAAAGGTCATGGGTATCTATGTTAGCGTGGCGGGGGGGGGGGGGGATTGCCCTACTTAGAGGGTCACACCACTGTCTGCGATTGATTTCCCCCGTACCGTGAGGCTCACCACCCACCCAGTGCCGCCACGCCCAGCTCAGAGGAGGGTCCCCGACTAGGAGACCAGGGAGGGGACCTTGCAACCAGACAAACGCTGCCCCTCTTCTCAGAGGCACCTTGGACGCAGAGGTGGTGGGGGTGAGGGGCAGTTTCGGGAAAGGGCTTCCTGCACGTGGAATGCGGCCTGGACGGGGGATGGTGATGGGGGGGCGGCAATCCGGGAATCACACCTCACAAATTGCAGAGCCCTGGGCGCACGGGGGCCTCTGGCTGTCAGAGTGCCCTGACCTGCCTCTAGATCTTACGCGCCACCACGCAGCTCGTTTTCCCGAGGGTCACGCAGAGAGATGAACGCTGACCCCCTACATTTTAGGAGGAGCCGACAGAGGGGAATACACGCGGTTAACTCGCACCGTGCTCGTCACACAGCAGGCCTGCAGACGTGTGCGTGCACTCCGAATCGGACAGCAAAAATGTGCCTCACGCGGCACGAGCAGCGCAGAGCAACCCTCCGAGAACCACAGGGGACGCGCACGGTGCCACGCAGGCTCTGAGGCCCGGCCCCGCACCCCTGACCCAAGGCCTCCTCAAGGCTCAGAGCTGGTGACACGCATCTATCTCTAAGCCACTCTGAAAGGGATGAGGGGCGCCGGGACCCCGAGTCTACAGTGTGAGAATC